TACATAACCATTGGAATATAAGAGTAAAGCTTGAACTTGAGATGTTGGCTGCTGTGCTGTAGACAGGGATTATGCGGCATGAATTAGGACTTTTTTTAATTTTGAAAGGTCTCTTTCACCCAGTGTGAAACAAGAACATTCTAATACAACTGGAAAATCATTCCCCACCTTGCTCCAGTCTCCATTTACTGACTGCATTTGGGACCACCATCTTCCCAGAGAACTTGAGAACTACCTATTGCACTAGATCAACTCAACAGAGATGGTTAGAATTAAATGGAGAGGGAGTATACTCAGAAAAATGGGTGTTGGGAGGAATGGCAAGCATGTGCCATTAAAGTGGACACTCCAGTTGCTTTGTGCTACTTTGTTAGCCAAAATGACTGTAAATCCAGCAAGCTCAGTGGTGGTATAAAGAAGTGATATAAAGAAAAATGATTCAAAATTGGTAATACGTATCACCAAATTATTATAAGTATGACATGATAGTAGCTCTTTGGCTCTTAAATTTAGTATTTACATACAAAAAACATTACATTAAAATAATCTACAAAAGGGAATTCCCAGAAAATAACCAGCTATATTTTGCTAGAGTTAAGATTCTCAGTGCATATCAGGAACTTCCATAGGCCGATACAGGATTTTTAAAAGGGTGGGGTGCCGGAATAGCAACCAGTGCTGCAGGAGTAGCTGCATCCTCCATGCCCAGCCTCTCTCCCCTTGCCCCACTCAGCTGGATTGGGCATACCACTCTCCAGGAGCTGAAGCCAGGGTCTTTTTTAAGTTCTTGAAGTAGGTTAGAATCCCTCTTTAGTACACTTTTGGCACCCTCTCCTTTCCCCTTTGTGCTCAGTGGCACCTCCCCTGCCCTCCCATCCCTTTCCCTATTTATGCCTCTGGATGCAGGGAGACACACCTGCTGCCACCACTGTTCTGCTCCAGCTGTGGCTGCGGAGAGAGGGGCATGTGGAGCCAGGATCAGCTGGGAACAGCTGTGGCAGTGGACAGGTTCCCCCTCCCTGCCCTGTTCCCAGGGAATACTTGGGGGAGCTCCCCCATTGCCACCACTGCTGCTGTCCCTGGCTGAGCTGGGCTCCCTGCACAGCCTGGTCGGGGCAGAGCACTGGAGCACCCCTGCCTCCATGTTAGGAAGGAACAGGGGCAGCAGCAGGCAGGGGAGGAGCTTCTGAGCATGGAGGGGGAGGGAGAAAGTGCCAAGAACAAGGCAGGGTTGGATTCTTGCTTGCTTTGGGGACTTGAAAATAAGTCCTCAGCTTCTGCTTCCACAGGGTGGCCCAAAAAGTATGAAACCATGCCACTGCATGCCCTCTGGATCTACCCTGTGGTAACTTCTTTTAGGTAACTGTTACAACTAAACTAAAGTAAAACAATAGCTTCCTGGTGTAGTTATGCCACAAAAGAAATCCAAATATATTAAAGCATAAAGATGCCCAGTTAGGACATTAGTAATGTCCTTTGAAAGGAAGAATGCCCTAATTCTGCCCTTTGAAGGCACCACAAGATGAAAAATGGAATGCATTTTTTTAAAATAAGTTTAATCTACTCTCAAATGAAGAGCTCTGAAATACTATCATCATAGCCCAGATGATTCTTGTATAATGTTACCAGAGACAGAGTTATGGTTGTTAGTGGCTTAGTTGTATATTAACATGCTCTTATTAATGTGCTTGGATTTCTTCTGAGGCAAAACTGTACAAGGAAGTTATCAGAGCAACTTGTTTTTGTATTCTGTGGACAAATCACATAAAGAACTCACATGAAGAAATCATGTGAAGAACAAAATGGATATTTCCTCTTATCCTTGTTTACTTAGCAACCTTTCCCTCACAAAGACATGTACTTACTACTCTAAAGGTAACTAAAGTGCAGCCTTGCTCTGTCCTTGGTTCCTCAATTACTACTTAATTCTGTAGAATTATTGCATGTTGATATCATATTGATATCATGCATTCCTATTCACACTGTACCTTTGTGGAAAATTTGTATTCCAGAAACAACCAACCTTTGTATAAATTCAGCTTATTTCCTACCAACTTCAGTGATATTATTACCACAGAAGGGCTGCAGGATCAGTGTAATTTATGTGCAATAATTTTAGCCCCACTTGTTTTAAAGACTGCAAGAGACTTGAGAATCATTTTGGATGAAGGTTTGTTATGCACCAGGTTATGATGCTATAGTCCAAGTCCTGGGAATAGTTTATTTTTTCCTTTTCTTTTAATTTGTGTTTATTTTCTTTAACATCCAGGCTCCTGCACATGAATGCATAAACTTTCCTTCACCATCCCTTCTCCCATCTGATTGCTTTACCTCAGTATATAGAATCTGTACCTACTCTTCCCTGTGCAACTGTTGATTTTGTTACTACTGATCAGCTACTATAGCCTTGGGCACAGTATATTTTCCCCTGCATATATTACCTTTGCAACACCTGCTATGCTACAAGTAACTTTTGTGTAAAACTATTAGTCTTGGGGCTTGTAGTTCAAGCAGCAGAGCTGTTATTGTAGCATGCCAGAGCATCTGTTGTTGATTTGAAGACTGATTTTAATTTGTTATGGTATAAATGGAAAACTGTATTCAGTATAGCTTGGGAAACAGAGAACACTGCTTGTGTTTGTACTTTTTCCATGCAATACTCTAGAAAGCAGCCCACAATTCTGAAAAAAAATGTTTCCTTTTAGAGGACACAGTAGAATTAGCTTTCTTGTTTCTGTTCTTGTAGCTCTGTGCAGCACATCTGGAGATGATTCTGAAGAAGGGGAAAAAGTGAAACGGAGTTCAGATTTATGATTATGTGAAAACTGGGACCTTGCAAAAAAATTCAATAAGAGGGAGCCATTAAACTATGTAAATACTGTATCCCACATTTTTTTTTATTGATGCTTAGGAGAAGCAGCAAATTGATTTGATCCAAAGAAAGAGAGGGGGGTTTTTTTCCTTCCGTTTTGCCTTCAGCTAGTTTACGGTTTGATCGTATCCAAACCATATGTGTAATGAATATTATAAATTTATATTTAGCTAACACTTTTTCTGTGCTTTTAACTCAGCAAAAGCTGGGTAATTTGGTTATCAGGTTTTTTTTCCTCCATGCAGTTAGAAAACTTGTTAATATCTTGCATATCTGTTCTAATTTTATCCTTTGTATGCTAAAAGCAACTAGTATCTGAGTGTAAATTTAAACAACATACAGAAGTTCTGCTTCGTTGCTCCCTGGTGTCTACTGCCTGAAAGTGGTTTCTAAAGGGACACTCCCTTATATTTAATCTATGCCAGAATACATTATAAAAAGCTTTCTTGTGTTGATATTTATCCTCGAAAACTTAACGCAAAATTCTTTTATTATGAAGCCCCTGCCATTCATCATCCAAATGAACGCAAGTTTTGACAACTAAACAGCAAACCATCAAAGCTCAGTCAAGTTCGAACTCTAAAAGGGCCTGATACTTGTGCTACTGGAGTCAGTTGGAATTTTTCCCAGATGTGACCAGGGTGTAGTTGTCCTTGCTTCTGCCACCTCATTCTTTTATTAAGTAGGATTTTGGTTATCACAGAATTTGGGGAATAAGATATTACTCAACCTATGTAGAGTAATGTTATGTTTTGCATAATTTACAAACACATCTTCAAATCAGGGCTTCCCTCAGTTGTACAGCTCCTAGCAAGGATTTTTTTGCTTCCCCCATCCCCACCCTGAGCCTGCAACACACACTGTTTCCCCAAAAGGAAGGAGCATTACATACAATTGCATCACACAATGACTCTTAGGAAAACCAGACTAACATAAATGTGAATAGAGTAAAAATATATACCACCTTGGAAGTTCTACTTTACTTTCTCTCTTCACCTATTTTCTTAAATGTTCTCCCCATTTTTCTATTGCACACCAATATACACTGACTTTCTCTTCCCTTCTATGTACAGTATTTTTCATTCTGGGTTTCTGTCTCCATAGTTTTCCCCATCCCTGCATTGGTTACATTCTGTTCCTATGATCAAGGTTTTGTCTACTGCCTCACAACTGCAGTTTTCCAGATATTGTGCTGCTAATTAATCTAGCTTTATGCCTGATTGATCAGCAGCAGATCTTAACAATGGAGATCCTTTTCCATAGGAATAGGCAGCGATCAGAGAAGACACTGGATTAACCAGGGTGAAGCCATCATCTAGAACAGAGTTGTCTTGGGGAGCTCACTACTATAACTGCCATTAAACCCACAAGCCTGATTCTAATATTTGCTTTATAGCATGCAAATGGAGTGAAGTATGGCTTCTCTTGGGAGCAGGATGGCAATAAGCAGTGATGCAATATGTTTAACAGCAGCAGGCAGCTGCTATCAAGAAAGGAAAAACTGTCCTGGCATAAAAAATAGTTTCCATGTCCAATGACACCTGGAACCTGTGAGCCAGCAGCTGCAGAAATGAACTTGGCCTAGAGAGCCCCGATAAAAACCGGGAATGTTTTGGGGGTCAGGAGTGAATAAGCTATAGAGGTTGGGGTTTTTTTAATTCAAGCCTAAGCATTCCTCATACAGTTTAATTTATTTTTTAATAACAGACTTTAATCTGTAATTTTAGTCACAATTCATCAATCAGCAGTTTTTTAAAATATGTGGTAAGTAGGTCTCAGAGTAACCATGTTTACTGTAGCAGACTATAAAGTGCTGCGTGTTTAGTTTGGTTGCTGAACTGCTCTGAGTAGCCATAAGAAAAAATCATTAACTGCACAACTTTCTAAAAGGGTCCAACAGAGCTGGTATAATTTAGAAGCTATACACAGTGTACATTCCAGAAGAAGATTGTTTTATGCCTCTGAGTGACTGCATATTTGTTTTTCAGGAAGAACTATTGAATTGAAAAGTGCATACATTCCGTTTTTAATGAAATAATGCAAATCTGTTGAAATGCAAATTGTATAAGAAAACTATTAATGCAGTTTGTTAAATACAGTTTTCTTTTTGTCTTCATCTAAAATGCAGGCAATGATAATTGCTTTTACATCTGACATGATACCTCGTTTGGTTTATTACTGGTCCTTTTCAGTCCCTCCCTATGGGAATCACAGCGACTATACCATGAAAGGCTACATAAACAATACACTTTCTGTCTTTGCTGTATCAGACTTCAGAAAGGAAAGCAAGCCAGTTCCACTCTCTTGGTTTGATAACCAAACAACATGCAGGCAAGTGTCAAATAAGTTTTCCTTCCATTTCATAAGAATAATTCAGAAAACATCCTCATCTGGATTATAGAAATCTAATTTAGTCACGTTTATATACAGCTCACCTCAGAAACAGTCAAAAGTGAAATTAAACAACAGTATTATTCACATCACTTTTTATTAATCCTTGCTCCATTTGATTTCTACCACTAATGAATACATTGTTTTAACACTGTCTTTGTTGTGTTGTATTTATTATGTAATGGAGGAAAATTAATTTCAACAAGTTTAGCTTATTTTGTAGTTGCACATTTTATCTATCATGTTAGTTCCATACAGTTTACAGCTTAGAGCTTACTACTCCAGACTGCATTAAACCATGACATGTTTTGCTCCATCCCCTGGCCATAGTGTATTACTGCAGAGCTTGTTGAAATGGTCTGGTGTTTTTAAATCGTCCACAGATACCGTGATTTCCGCTATCCTCCTGGGCATGAACATCAGTATGAACACAACACATACTACTGGCATGTGATTGCAGCGAAACTAGCTTTCATCGTTGTCATGGAGGTCAGTCCACAGAGCTTTGAATTTTTATGTCTTCCCCACAAGCAAAAACTACAAACTGAAATGAATTATTTTGCAAAGTGATCAGTTTGTTTGCTTTGCTAACAAAATGTATTGTGGTGGGTTTGCATCAGCATAGTAATGAAACAATACCAGTTTACCCTAACTGAAGATCTGAAGCTATGTATTTAGCAGATCCTTACTTAGGGATCTTAAAATATTGGAAGAGTCTGTTAAAGCAACTTGTGTGCATGCCTTTGTGCCTGTGGATCCCCACCCCACCCAAACATGCTAACTTGGCATTAGTTTTAAATGATTTTATTAAGGTAAGCAACAATATGGCCACATTGTTGTAGTCCATATGGTGGATGATAAAAAGCTCAAATCTAGTGCTAAACTTGTGCTGGAGGCACAACAGCTGCTCTGCTGTATTCTATGCTATTCTGGGCTCTGCCATGCTAGGAGTTAAGCTGGGGAGAAAAGCCACAGAGCAGCTCTGCGGTCTTCTAGATACCCTAATGTTGCCAACCCCAGGTGTACAGAAATCTTGAGCTCAGTCCTTGCAAATCTGTGCAATTGAATTTAGAAATGTGAGCTGTTTTGAAACAGCATATGTCTGGGATATATTATTTGCTTTCTGATTGTTGAGACCTTAGTTTTCACATTTTCAAGCCCTTCTCCATAATCCTGCAGGCCAGAAATTTAATAGCAGTTGGCACTGCTGACTGCACCTCACTGCGATCAGACTAGCAGCAACTTCTCTCTCCTGTGGGATTTTGAAGAGATGTTGAAAGTAGCTGCAAAGCTGCATGGCCCCTAAGAAGAATTAAGCTGCTGGGTGGGAAATGGGAGCCTAGAGGGCTGTACAGCAGCCTTTGGCCTATATGCAGGTGCTTCTGAAGAACTTGGTGGATCTCAGATTTCTGAGAGGCTGCACTGTCCATTCTGCAAGGGAGCAAATCCTGTCTCCTGTGTCAATACTGGGAGAAGGTTTGGTGGGTCCAGTTCCAAGTTATTCTTTTCCTTCTTTGGGGATGGAAATAGAGTATGATTAGGTAGAGTTGGCTGGCCCAAAAGTGACCTAAAATCTGTTTTACTAATGCAGTCTTTTCTGTGTCCCTCACTAAGCTTGGAAACCAACAAATAGTCATAGATAATTATGTATCTTGGTCATTTTCTGAACCAGGGTCAATGCAAAGCCCTTCCATCACTTTCATACAGACCAGGGAGGCTTTCTGCACTGAGGACACATTTTGAAATCCTCTTACACCACCAGAGTACCATGAAAAGGTCTCACTGGGAAACAGGCCCTGAAAGTAGAACTTGGGATTTCTAAGCCACTATAACATGACCCACAGTATCCTTGAGTATCAGTGAAGCACTTGTAAGTAAAAATAGAGGTTTTGGGTGGTGGGTTTGCAGACATTAAAGAATCCACAGTCTGACTGTAGCTATGGGGAGTCTGACTCTCAGAATTTGTATGATTTTCTGGATCCTGACTTTTTCCCCAGTCAAACTACTTAGGCTTTGCCTCCCTTCCTGCAAATACAGCAGTCATAGAATCATAGAAGTAGGGTCGGAAGGGACCTTGTAGATCTTCAAGTCCGACCCCCTGCCTGGGCAGGAGGAAAACTGGGCTCAAATGCCAGGTAGGCATCAAGCCTCTTCTTAAAGACCCCCAGGGTAGGAGCCAGCACGACTTTCCTTGGAAGTTGGTTCCAGATCCTAGCCACCCTAACTGTGAAGTAGTTCTTACAGATGTCTAATCTGAACCTACTCTCCAACAACTTGTGGCCGTTATTCCTTGTTATCCCGGGGGGTGCTAGGGGAAACAAGGTCTCCCCCAAACCCTTCTGGTCCCCCCTAGTGAGTTTATAGACAGTCACCAGGTCCCCTAGGCAGTCCATAAAGGCAAATTCTTTAAAGTCCTAGGCTGGAACCGTACCCCTGCCCAAAGCACACCCCTTGCCAGCCTCTGTCCCAAATCTCATGTCCTTGGCTTTAATAGCTGGCCTGCTGTGACTGTTTATTTAAACCAGCCATAGCTGGCTCCCTGCAGCTTGGTGCTCCCAGGTCTCTGTCTATAGATTGCATATAACTACTGCTTTGTCATGCATTGGTATTGTAAGCTCTTCTGCAGAAGGGATGGCCTCATCTTTATATACATACAGTGTCTAGCACATTGGTAGTCCTAGATATTATGGGCCAAATCTAAAAAAAGAAGCTGGCAGCATAAAAGTAGAATTTAGATGGTGTTCAGATGCCCAAGTCAAAAACTGCATTCTTAAAACCCCTAGTCATCAACTGCCTAGATGCTGAAGGGGTCTCAGCTTCAAAGGCGCTGCAGTCCTTGATCTTAGTATTCCCAATGGATTTAAAAGTTACGCTTCTGGACATGCACAAAACAGAACAGTATTGATAAGGCTGGGCAGCTTGGTTCCTAGCTCATGCCCAAGCCCAGTGAGGTTCCAGAAACCAGGTATCCTTTCATTTAAGCCCATTGAGCATCCACTGACAAGACACACTTACAAAATGCCCTCCTCCCAACACACACACACACACATACACCACTGGTCTTCCCATAGAATGCTACTGTTTTCTTTTAGAAGATAGAAGAGCTTAAGGAGAGGATAGGGCTGTTCTCCCCTTTTATAGTATTCTAGGGCTTAAAACACTTGGCCACAATGCAGGAAACAGGATCCATTCTCACCTATCTGCCAGAGGACATTGTGTCTTGGATCTCTAGCTTCCTTGCAGATTGTGCTGCCACCTGGCTGCAGGCTATTCCAGGTGCAGCTGTGCCAGCTTTTAGAGGTAAGAGCAAACCTTAGAGTTCAGTTCTTTGGAAGAACAGTTATAAGCACCATTCTGAGGCAGATATTCTTGGCTCTGGATCCTGGGTGGATGGAGATGCCAGTTGCTCTTCATCAGCAGCTACAGAAAAGGGTGCGGTTCAAGTGATACTGGCTAGCAGAAGGTGGCTCCCTGCTTAATATTCAGGTTTACTAGGGTTCACTTCTCAGGTGCCTAATTCTTGCCATGTATTGAATAGGAGGAAGAGGATGATTACCTTTGGGTTAAGAGTTGGGTGTTACAGTGCCTGGCTCTGGTGCGGTTCCAGGACTGGGACCAACAATTGTTGGTCCCAGCCCCAGGACCATGCTGGAGTCTGGAACTGGCTCCAGGTTCTCACTTTCCTGCCACACGTTAAATTTAAGTCATGATGAAAACCAGCCACAAGAAAAAAAATGCACATTTTGTGGACTATTTTTGTGGCTGGTTTTCTATTTTGTAGCACCATTAATTTATTGGATGTTTTTCAGGGTTGATATTTACACTGAAATTAACATGATAATTGTGCCTTAAGTTAACATCTGCCAGGGGCCTATATTACTGTTTTCACTCAGATGTCCTGATTTTATGGTACAAAACAAATCTCATTGATCCTAAGAGATAAAGCAACATTTCTTCTCTGTGTTTTTTTATAATAATAGTCTTACTCTGTGTGAATAACCCTTTTTATTTTTACCTTCCCCAGCATATCATATATTTTGTGAAGTTTATTATTTCATACGCAATTCCAGATGTATCAAAAAAGACCAAGAGCAAGATCAAACGAGAGAAATACCTAACACAGAAACTCTTGCATGAGAATCATCTCAGGGTTATGAAGAAAAATGTGGGAAATATAGCTGACAAAATCTTGAATGTAACCGACACCACTTTCCGACCAAAATCTGAATAAGAATTTTGCGCACTGATATTGCTTACCTAGATTGGCTCTGTCAAATGTTACTAATGACTAATCAAAAGTTTTAGATTAGCTACTTTTAGCAAATATGGTTTCCTTTTAACTAGTATCTTTTTAAAGGTACAGCATTTGTTGGTTTCAGCAAGACATTAAGAAACTAAGATAATGCCTCGCTAACATTATCACCAAGAAAAAGTGACATTTTTTCCCCTAGTTGTTTTAGACAAAATTTTTATCATGACTTTTTGCACACTGTTAAGAAGAGGTTGGTTTATTCTGGAATGTAACAGAATACCTTCCACTTCATTCAGGCATTGGGTTTTTTTCTGTTTCATTTGAACAAAACGCAAATAATTTGTATTCAAGGAAATAACACAGCAGCCATTAACTGAGAGCTTTGATCAATTAATAATTCAATCACTTGTGATCTAAATAAATTAAGAAGAAAACCTAAAAAAAAAAAAAAGGGGAAGGAAATGAAGAAAAAAGGAAGATGATAGAACTAAATGATCCTTATTGCACAACCTTTTGTCGTCATGGTAAGCATTGTGGTATACTATATGAAGCTTGATAGTCACACTGGGCATTATGTGCATAATAGGTTACTTCAGTCACTGTGATAAGTATGGATTTGATCACAGTGTCAGGAAGCATTACAAGCCTGATTCTCTTCTTGTTAACAGCTGTGTAAAGCAAGAGGGATTCCATTAAAAGTCAGTGGAGATGCACTGACTTTGCAGCATTGAGAGTGTGAAGATCAGGCAATGTATCTTTACAGAATCAATGTACTTTAATTAATTCATTGTGGCAGTTCTGTTTTGAGCTGGTGTAATCTTGAAGGTCTCTCACCTGTCTGGTAAGAGTTTAAAATTCTTTTCACATATATAATAATATCCAGAAAGATGTATTTTACTTTACTTTCACAGCCAAAACTATCTACTTCATTGGTATGTTTAACAGTGCAAGGAGTACATGGCTGGACTTATCATGATACACTATTTTATGAGTACACTTAGACAGGAGCATGGATTCACTGAAACAGAAATGGAAGCATACAATTTAAAATGTGTTACATGTGTATGTTGAGTTAGGTGGATCATTCTTGCTTGTTTTGTCATTTTTTACATTTAATACAATACGTATGCATGACAGAACTCTAAAATAGTTCATTCATAACTATATTACATATTATGAAGTGTGCTTTTGCTGAAGCTAGATAATGTCAATTAAATGTATTTTATCCTGGTAACAACCAAAACGAATCAGAAAAATTGAAAGTACTGCTAATATAATTCATCCCCTTCCAGGCTCATCATGTGTCAGCTACTGACACAAAAATGCAACTCCAGTGCTGTATCATGTATTTTTTAAAACACCTACTGACCAGGGAGTTGAAGTAGCTGTCAAGATGGAAACAGTTGAGAGATGGATTAAATTCAAGCTTCCTTAGGCTCAGAACTTGTGGAAAGATCCATACGGACAAACAGGCCACAACCAGACAAGAATGGATGTTTGGTTCCCTGGAGACAAGTAGCAGTGGTGCACCTTGTGCTGCCGCTACTTGTCTCTGGGAAATGCCCATGCCATGTACACTTCGATGTGTGGCAAGTTACCCTGGGTGAGGTAGGGGAGGCTGAGGCCAGCAGCCTTACCTGTGGTCCTGGGGGTCTCCTGGGGCTGCAGCAGCAGCAATTTTGCTACGTGGAGCCTAACCAGCAGCTGGAGCATGGCTCCAGGTGGCCCAGCTCCACTTTTGAGTGGTGAGTGCTGCCTGTGCATGCAGGGTTCAAAAAAACCCATGGAAAAAGGAAGTGGAGCAGTGCTCGCACAGGCAGCATGTCCTTGCAGCTTGGAGAACATCTAAATGTGCTGTATGTGGCACCACAGATGTGTTTGTGGCGCCACATACCGCACAGACGCACTCATCTGGACATGGCCACAGGGATTGCACCATTTTCCCCAATGCAGGGATGTGGTCTTCATTGTAATGATAAGGTAGGAAACATTCTCATCATCAAAAACTATTTGCTATGATAAACTAGAATACCATTCCACAGCAGAGTGAGGAAAAATGCTGTACAAATGAGAAGAGTGAAATCAACAGAGCCTGGAGTAAAGACAATTACTTGATCCAATGCAAATGCCCTTACTGCCCCTTTTGACAGTTAGTGAAACTGAGATGCACAGAGTGCAAACAGTGCCTTGCCTAGAATCACAAAGTCAGCAGTGATGGAGCTAATATTAGTGAGCAGGAGGTTTCCAGTGACATGCTTAGTCCCTTGGACCTCACTTTTGTGTGCTCACACAGGCACGTATTATCTCTTCGCTTAGCAGTATTCTCCTGAATCCAAGAGTCAGCCTCTTCCGTAGTAGCTCAGGATTCAGAGTCTTTCTTTTAATACATTGCAATGTCATTAAACATTTCTTTTTTAAGTGTAGTCTTACCAATATCAGAAACAAGTGGAGATACAGCTAATCTAGTTGTAGAATCCTGATAAGCATTGCCTTCAGGACACAGTTGCATCTGGTCCATTGTACTGGTGGTACTGTACACACGGTATTATTTCACACACAATGTTGAATTTCAGATCAAGGAGAGAAATATGGTGCCTATAAACACCATAACAATAACAATACATTTTAAATAACAGTACCTTTAACATTCTGTGCAGTTTACACCAACTCTGCATTTACCTGTGAAAGACATGGACTGTGCTGAGATTTTAAAATAAAATATTAAGGAGGGGGCAAAAGTTCCAGTATGATCATTGAGCAACATTAGGTATTGCAGTGCCATTATTCATAAAGTGCCACTATTCTTGAAGTCCTTCATATGTTGGTATGTTTTGATGCACAGGAATGCATATTTTGCTTTCTTTTTTTTCTAAGAATGGCTGATTTTTTTAGTTTTTAATTACTGTTTTAACACTAATTCCTTTATATTTATTATTTTAATAAAATTTATTTTAAAATATATTCAGTGCCTTAAACTATTGCTTTTTTCAGAAGTCGAATAATAGTGATGCTACCAAGTTTCATGTTTAAAAGTCAACTTTGTTTTTCAGCATAATGTTCTTTTTCAAGCTGTCACCATTAAATTGCATCATTGCTATCAAGAATTATCAGCTTCTGTCTTTTCTAAACTCTATATGGGATTCCTCCTTTTCAATAGCAGCTCTGTGATAAGGGTGAAGAAGAGCATTATGTTCTTCTACAAACATTAAATTTTAGGCTTCTTTAAAGTCATTTTGAGTTCTCATTACAAATGTGAAGCTTCTAAATCTCCATCTATTTCAGTAGGGTCAGGTCTCCCTACATCCAGGTAGTTAAGCTTAAATCTAGCCCCAGCCAGCATAAATTACAACTTGTTAATCATATACCCCCTATGGGCGAGAGTGACATATTCACTTTGACACTAAAGCCAAAGGTCCCAGGCGTGCATGTACAATTGAAAAAAAAAAGTACAGCTCTTGCTGAAGTTTTGTTCTCCCTAAGCAAACAATCATGAACTTTGCTATACCTCTCAAACCCCAGACTCTTAAGGAGTCTAACAAGAGGGATAATCCTGAAGGGTAAATATGATCCTTTGGCCATTTCAGATACAGATCTTGCCTGCGGTAGTCTTTTTCTTTTGTTTTCTCACAGTCGCTTTTAAGTGCTGATGTATTCCCATAACAGTAGAGTACTAATTTAGTGTTTTAACCCTAGTTTGAGCAGGCTTAAATAATGGTTATAAAAATGTCTATATTCTCTCTATGTTATTGTTCTCACAAGGCCACCTTCTGCAATAAAATTCCACTCATTTGGCATTGAGCTAATATGCAAAAAGACTGTGATTTACAAGCAAAGAGGAGAGAACTCACACTTGAACTAACTAACATGTACAAGGAAGAGTAACTTGTAACCAACTGCTACATGCTTTACTTTATACTCCGGTCCCCTTTTCCTCACCCAGTAGTTGAACTGCCATTATTGGGCGCATCCACCCATGGAAGCACATGTGCTTGCAGCAGCTCAAATAGAAACGGTGCAAATTTGAGCCGGGGCTTTTTGCCTCAGTGTACGTGCTCAGACATGCACTTTGTTGTGGAGCAAATTGTGCCACTTGGGGCAAAATAACCATGCCTGGCTCCTCCCGGATCTTCAGCCAGGGGGAGCTAGAGCCCGGGGCCAGCACCTGTGCTATCCCCAGCAGTATAAAAAGCTGCCCTGTCCTGGCCCCAGCAGTATAAAAAGCCACCCTGGCAAGTAGCTCAGGTCTACTAGCTCTCAGGAGTTTCTGGGTCCCAGCCACTTGGTACCCAGGGACACTACCCCTTGTGCCAGCTGGACTGCTGAAGCAGCCCTGAGAGTTCCCTGCACCCTCTACCCACTGCAGCAGTCTGGCAGTGGGGGCTGCTGCCTCGCTGTTACCTGCTGTGCACCTGCCAGACTTGGATGGGGACTGCAGAGCCAGTAGAGGCATCTTCCCCTCTGGGCCAGCTGCCAGTGGACTGTGGTTGTAGGGTTGGCCTTTGTGTGGCACTACTGCCATTTGTGCCCCCTGCCCAGCCCTCTGGGCAGCTATCACCGAGGTGTGGTGGGGTCCTGCCACTGGCCTCCCTAGCAGGAAATCTGGTGTTCCCTATTGGAAAACTGAAAAATCCCTGATAAAAAAATCCCAAAGTCACTCTCTAAAATACCCCAAAATCCATGTTCTACACAAATAAAACAAAAGACCACTATAAAGAGAGAGAGAGTGTGAGACAGAGACAGCGATCAGTTGGACAATGTTTTATTGATCTATCTACAGTGTTAAAGCAAGTCTCTTATCATAATAATAAAGTGAACTCTAAATACAGGTTTCATGAATTCATGAGTACATATTTTGCTGCCCTCCCACAGGGCGATGGCCCCCACACAAGGGGTTGGGCCCCCACGCAAGGGCTATGGCCCCCCAACAGGGGGTTCAGCCCCCACACAAGGGGTTCAGCCCCCATACAAGGGATACACCCCCCCAACAGGGGGTTCATTGCCCACACAAGTGGTACAGCCCCCCAGTGGCCAGGGCAGGGGTCAGGGGCCTCAGGGATCGGGGTTGGCGGGGGGGAGGGACCAGCCCCGGCAGGGGTCGCGGGAGATGCTTAGAGGGGCTGGGGTGCAGGCAGGGGATGGGGCCTGGCAAAGGTCCCCCCACAGTCCCTTCCCCCCTCCTCCAGCCCCCCCAACCCCTTACTCACAGGCACCGGAACCCTGGTACTGAAACACGCAGCACCACGGTGAGAGGCCAACCATAGAGACGCTCTGGCAGCCAGAGCGTCTCTATGGAGGACCCAGCCTCCGGTTGCCTGCCCCACTTTTTTATACTTTGCTTTTTTTAGACTGGGTCAAATTTTCTCCCCACGCTGCAAACTTGCAGTGCAGGGAACACTTTTTGTTCCCGCACATGCCTGTTGCCCCGCCTCAAAGGGGTTTGAGGCGAGGCAAGAGGCACATGCGCGCTCATGTGGATGCGCCCATTGTGTATAACTAAGCCTACTTCTCCTACATGCCATATCAATACAAGTTATTCTTACCAAACATGTTCTGTAAACTGGTTTTTTTTGCTAGCTCAAATTACAACAAGATAGAAAAAGTACTTCGCTAGAACTGTCTCCTAAAAAACACCGCATAAGTACATTTATCAGCTATACTGTACTCATCTAGTGCAAGATCTTCCTCATAGCACAGGACAATTTAAGGAATCTTGTATTGGTTTCAGCAGTATAAGGATACATTATGCTCTCTTGACCAGCCATCGTAGCACACATACCTACAGTGCAGTTGCAGCTCTGTGTCCAAATCTCCGAATCTGAATTGAATCAGAGGACCCTTTAATCTCTCCGAATCGAATCAGAACCCTCTGAATTGATTCGGAGAAATTTGGTGATTCAGACATAGACACAGCTTTAAATGTTTTGTCTACATATCTCAAGGTACCAGGTGGCTTGTGAATGCTGCGATGCTGGGGCAGATGGAGCATCCCACAGGAGTGCAGGGAGGTCCCCAGCACGCTTGGCAGCAGACCCAGAAGTGGACCAGAAGCACTTCCAGTCCAGTTCCAGGTCCACTGTAGAGTGTGCTGCAGGGCCCCCCAGCTTGGCGACTGGTGCCTCCTGGGTCTAGGGCACACCCAGGATCCCCCCACAGCTGATCACCGAGCTGGAGGAGCAGCAGAGGGACACCCCAGTGCACTCCCCAGTGGAACTGGAAGTGGACTGGAAGTACTTACAAACCTGGAAGTACTTGCAGTCCACATCCAGGTTTGCCACTGAGCATGCAGCCCGCCCCCCACCCCCGTCCCTTCCACGCTCCTGTGGGACACTCCATCCACCCAGCATCGCAGCATTCACGAGCTGCACCTGGTACCTCGAGGTATGTAGACAAAACATTTAAAGCTGTGTCTATGTCTGAATCGCTGATTCTCTGAATCAGTATCAAATCTTCAGATTTGGCTGAATTGAATCAGGGACAGTGATCCGAATCAAGAAACCGAATCACTGTCCCCAGTTTGGGCCGAATCTGAATTCAAATCGAACAGGGCCGATTTTGCATGCCCCTACAACGTACCATTCTGGTGTTTAGTATCACAGCAGACCTGGGCAG